GACACCCCACCCTCGATATCTGATCACCCTCGATATCTGATCGGGTTCTGCATTTTTCACCACCCTGAGGTGATGTCTGAGCACCCTGGCCTGCCTTCAGCAAAGAATCTTGTTAGGTCAGTTTAGGCAGAATCCCCCGTACTCCTGCTGTTTCCTCGTAGTAATTTTCCACCCAGTGTCCCCCACATGCTCCTTGGCTATAAATTCCCACTTGCCCGGGGTTGTATTCGGAGTTGAGCCCAGTCTCTCTCCCCCACTAGAAAACCCCGTTGCAGTGGTTCATATATCTATTGTGAAGGTCCTGGATAAGGTCTGCCTAATCTTTAACAAGTGTCGTTGAATATTGTTTCTTGAACAACATAAGGAGTGTCTTTTTTCTCATAGACAAAATTTTAAGATTGGCAGCCCATGGGCAGGATCTGCTTTTCAGAAATGTTTTGTTTGGTGTTTTGTTGTGTTTTGATAATGGAATTAGTTGCCAACACTTAGAACTTAGGAGCTATCATGTAATAATCCAGATTTTTCATTTTCTTGAAAAAAAATCTGAAGAAATGACCATATGAGAAAGACAAAAACTAGTTGCTTCGTTTGGACTGAGCAGGCTTTCTCTTCCCCCCGAGCCTCTGTGGCCAGCTCCTCTGCCTGGATGTTGGCATTTGTATTTGCAGTTCCTTCGTCGTGGTTTACTAAGGAGTTAGTGCTTCATGGTGTTATTACACATCTCTAAGAGTGCCTCCACGGTCACTGTGCTTAACTCTGTGAATTTATAAGGATCTGGGAACTCGTAAGAAAAGGGAGAATTATTATGTATAATCTTAAAGGAATATTGGCTGACATTATTCTGCTTCTTGTTGCACCAATTCTTATAGGTTTCACGGAGCTCTGACATTTGTGCTTGTGTGTGTGCATGATTATGACTAGATCGGTGAATGGAGAGTTTTTTATTAATGATGTGGTTTAGCTATATCTCAAGAAAGTAACTCACTCAAATGTAATTAAATCATTGAAAAATGAAAATACTGAAATTTTGGAAAATTAGCTTTTGGTCAAAGAATGTATGCTATAAGAGGATGATTCTGTTTTTTTAAGCAGGAAAAAGTAGATAAAACTTTTGCTTGTTAAGTGCCTGAAAACAATTTAATATTTGAATTTTGGCTGAATTAAAAAGCAAATAAAGAAACAAAAATGAACCAAGTGTCCACCTGAAAGCAAATATTTCTGCCTGTAAAGTATGACGACTTTGGAAGCAGTCCATGGTCCCTTTACTTCTTCTGGCAGTAAGGAAATGATAATAGTGATTTCTGTTCCATGGAAACTGTGTTAGATTACCTTATTTGAAGGCTCTTAACCATTTGCTTGGTTTTGTTTTAAGATTGTGTACCTTAAAGTTTAATTAATACAATGACTAAAAAATGTTTGCGTTTAGAGCATAAAATTAAAATAATTTGTTCACCTTGGACCTTATGGAGGAAAGGTGAATACACACTAAATTAATTACATTGAAAGGATTAAGTTAGAAATTGAATCCTTAAAGAAGTTTGAGGTAAACTTTTGACTTATTTGGGGGTTCATAGGAAAGTTAAGCAATCGTTCAGTTTTTTTAAAAAAGCAGGAAAAAATACTGTATATGTCTGAACGTAAGGTGATCCCAAGATGTAGGTGTTTACCTATCTTCCCAGTGAGAAGTTTTGAATATGTAAGACCTTTAGACATGTGGATAAAATGGTCAAGTATCTACTTACATTTTAATGTATGTATTTACTTCCACATATGTATTTTAAAATTACATAAAATATTAGTTTAGAAATATTACTTTTCCCCACCCTTACAGTTCACTGATTGATTTTATTTAAATTCTTCATATGCGATTTGGCACTGGTATCTTGGTGATTGCTAAATCCTCTGTTTTGAGTCATCTTGCCCAATTTTCCAGCACATATCATTTCTGCCTAAATTTTTTTGAGATTCAGTAGTTTTTTTTTTTAATTGAAGTGTAGGTGCCGTACAATATTGCATTAGTTTCGGGTATACGACATAGTGATTCGACGTGTCTATACATTACAAAGTGATCACCCTGATAAGACTAGTAACCATCTGTCACCATACAAAGTTATTACAGTATTGTTGACTATATTCCCTATACTCTACATTACATCCCTGTGACTTATTTATTTTATCACTGGAAGTTTGTGCCTCTTAATCTCCTTCCCCTATTTTGCCCTTCCCCCCAGCACCTCCACTCTGGCAACTACCAATTTGTTCTCTGTATCAATGAGTCTGTTTCTGTTTTGTTTTGATTGTTTGTTTTGATTTTTTAGATTCTACATATAAGTGAAATCATATGATAATCTTCTTTCTCTGTCTTTGCTTATTTCACTTAGCATAATGCCCTCTAGATTCATCCATGTTGTTGCAGGTGGCAGGATTTCATTCTTTTTTATGGCTGAATAATATTCCATTGTGTATATATACCACATCTTCTTTATCCATTCATCTACCAGTGGACACTTAGGTTGGCTTCATATCTTGGCTATTGTAAATAATGCTGCAGTAAACATAGGGATGCAAATATCTTTTATAATTACTATTTTAGTTTTCTTCAAATAAATACCCAGAAGTGGAATTGGTGGATTATGTGGTGGTTCTATTTTTAATTTTTTGAGGAACCTCCCTACTGACTTCTATAGTGATTGCACCAATTTACATTCCCACCAACAGTGCATGAGAGTTCCCTTTTCTCCACATCCTCACAAACGCCAACACTTGTCATTTGTTGTCTTTTTGATAATAGCCATTCTGACAGATGTGAGGTGGTACCTCATTGTGGTTTTGATTTGCATTTCTCCGATGATTAGTGATGTTGAGCATCTTTTCATGTGTCTCTTGGCCATCTCTTTGTCTTCTTTGGAAAAATGTCTGTTCAGATCCTCTGCCCATTTTTAAATTGGGTTGTTTGGTTTTTTTGATATTGAGTTATATGAGTTCTTTAGGTATTTTGGATATTAACCCCTCATCAGATATATTATGTGCAAATATATTCTCCCTTTTAGTAGGTTGCCTTTTTGTTTAGTGGATGGGTTTTTTTTTTTTTTTTTGCTGTGCAAAAGCCTGATTTCAAACTATACCACAAAGCTATAGTAGTTAAAACAGTATGGTACTGGCACAAAAACAGACGCATAGATCAGTGGGACAGAATAGGGAGCCCAGAAATAAACCCACACATATATGGTCAATTAATCTATGACAAAGGAGGCAAAAATATGCAATGAAGAAAGAACAGTTTCTTCAATAAATGGCATTGGGAAAACTGGACAACTACATGCAAAAGAATGCAACTGGACCACTTTCTTAGACCATATGCAAAAATTAGCTCAAAATGGATCAAAGACTTAAATATAAGACCTGAAACTATAAAACTCCTAGAAGAAAACATAGGTAGTAAACTCTTTGACATCAGTCTTAGCAGTATTTTTTTGGATATGTTTCCTCAGGCAAGGACAACAAAAGCAAAAATACGCAACGAGACTGAGTACTTTTTTGATTCAAATGTGATTTTGTCACTGTAAACCGTATGCCAAACTACAAGTGCTATTTGCAAAATAGGAGGGCAGTTATTTTAAAATTTGTGCTATAGATGAATACTTTTGATCTGCAGCATGTAACACAAAGTAGTGCTGTTTAAAGTTATCTTAATAGGCTTTTGTATAATCATAGCCAACATTTGCAACTGTAAGACATAATTACTAAATCTGGAATTTTTGTTTTGAAAAACAGATTTTTTAGGGGCCAGCCCAGTGGCACAAGCAGTTAAGTGTGCGTGCTCCGCTGCCGCGGCCTGGGCTTCGCTGGTTCGGATCCCGGGCGCGCACCCACGCACTACTTGTCAAGCCATGCTGTAGCGGTGTCCCATATAAAGTGGAGGAAGATGGGCATGGATGTTAGCCCAGGGCCAGTCTTCCTCAGCAAAAAGAGGAGGATTGGCAGATGTTAGCTCAGGGCTGATCTCCTCACACAAAAAAAAACCAAAAAACAAAAAAACAGATTTTTTTAGATTACATCTATAAGTGTTTAAAACTAGTAATGGTGGAAGTTGTTTCAGCCTAATGTGTTTTCCTCAAACAAACCTTTGTTTTATACAATAGAGTTATACACAGATTTAGGTAAAGATTTGACTATGAGGTAACTCCTTCTTTCCTGAGAAATATTCTTGGAGGAAGAAAAAATCTGCTTCATGTTTGAACATATATAATACTCTTTTTTCTTCTCCCTTTCAAGGTTATTCCTTAAATCTTTACTAGAGTGCAATGGAATGTAATAAAGATAACCTGGAGAGGGGGAGCATCTTATTTGATGGCAAGTCAAGGCGAATGTTATTAATTTTATGAGCTTTTTTTCTTATCCTAGTGCATATCACAATCATTAAAATATCTATTTCTTAAAGATATGTTATTATAAAAAAGATAGCAAGAGAGTAGATAAAAGGGATGTACTGTGTGGTAGACATTTTCTATGAATGTTTCCATAGTTGTATAATGCTATTTATGTGAGATTTTTATTAGGAGGTAGCAGTTAATTTGGCAGGAGATGTTGTCCTTGTCATTTCCTGATAACCATGAACTACACCATTAACCACAAACTACAGAAGATGAGCACAGCTGGTGTTTTTATAACAGAGAGTGATGAGACAGATGATAGAGATTGGGAATATGAGAGGATTTAGAATTTGTAATAGTTAGTGGTTTCTGTCGTGGCTATTCAATAAAATGCTTACTTTTAGGAATTTAAGATAATTGAAGTGGCAAGTATTTTTACTTGCGTATCACCTGTGAAAGAATCTATTATTGTAACATTTTGCAGGATCATTTTACTCTGGGGCTTCCAGCTATGTGTGAAAAAATGTCTGTGTCATTAATATACAAAAAACATGATAATTCAGTACTACATATATTAGCAATAAGTTATACCAATGAAAATGAATTATCATTTTTATCTCTTAACAGTGGAAAGAGTGGAACGAGAAAACCTTTCAGACTATTGTGTTCTGGGCCAGCGTCCAATGCATTTACCAAATATGAACCAGCTGGCATCCCTGGGGAAAACCAACGAACAGTCTCCTCATAGCCAAATCCACCACAGTACTCCAATCCGAAACCAAGTGCCCGCGTTACAGCCCATCATGAGCCCTGGTCTTCTTTCTCCCCAGCTCAGTCCACAACTTGTCAGGCAGCAAATAGCTATGGCCCATCTGATAAACCAACAGATTGCTGTTAGCCGGCTCCTGGCTCACCAGCATCCTCAAGCCATCAACCAGCAGTTCCTGAACCATCCGCCCATTCCCAGAGCAGTTAAGCCGGAGCCAACCAACTCTTCTGTGGAAGTCTCTCCAGATATCTACCAGCAAGTCAGAGATGAGCTGAAGAGGGCTAGTGTATCCCAAGCTGTCTTTGCAAGAGTGGCATTCAACCGCACACAGGTACAATTAGCATTAAACATGATAATTGGTGGTTAAGAATAATACTAGCGACAGAATTATGTTACATCTTAATTCTTTTTTATCTCTTAAGAAATTTTTATGGATCTCAGAGCACATGGAATTAATTAATTAATAATCCTTAGTTCATGAGATACTATCACCATTGATCCATGCATGACCATAATTAATTAATTAATTTCAGTAATGCAATGAACATCTGTGAACCCACCACCCAACTCAAAACCCAAAATGTAACCAGACTTGGGTCTGTCCATGTGCTCGTCTCCCTTTCATTTTCTCCATCTGCCTTTTCCTAGATGTAACCCTGATTGTTAATTTTATGGTTATCATAACCTTGTTTTTTAAAAATTAGTTCTAAAACTGTTTATGCATGCCCGAACAATCTATTATTTACCTTGTTTTTGAACTTTATAAAAAGAGTATCATTATGTGTCATAATTTCTATTATTTTTTATAAACCCTTGAAAATATACAAGTTAGATTTAAGATATTGATAAAGTAGTAATGGGTAGTCTACTTATACAGTCATGGGCCACATAAAGACGTTATGGTCAACGACGAACTGCATATATAATGGTGGTCCCTTAAGATTAGTACATAGAGCCTAGGTGTGTAGTAGGCTATACCATCAGGGTTTGTGTTTGTACACTCCATGATGTCCACACAATGACAGAATCTCCTAAGGACACATTTCTTAGAATATATCCCCATCCTTAAGCGACACATGACTGTATCTTTAATGTTGTAGGGGAATTATATGTGAATATAATATTATACGATAAAAAGATAAACTATTTATATATGTCTTATTTTATTGAGGGCTGCTTATAAGTAAGACGTTCTTTTCCACCAGTGGTTCTTAAACTTTAGCTGCGTCAGAATCATCTGGAAGGCTCTTAAAATACAGATTGCTGGGCCTGATTCCAGAGTTTCTAATTCAGTAGGTCTGAGGTGGGGCCCAGAAATGTGTACTTCTAACAAGGTCCCAGGTGATGCTGATGCTGCTGGTTGGAGGCCATGCTTTGAGAACACTAATCTAGCCTGTGTGTGAGTACAAAAAAGTGAAAGTGCTAATCTCAAGGACCTAATAACCTAGTAGTGAAAAAAACGTACCTAGATAACTAAAGTAAAATGTGAAGTAAAGTGAATAGTGTAGGAGAGTGTAAGCGGTTGTTGTGGTAGGTGTTCATGAGGAGTTAGAGGTAAGGAATACTTCTAGTAGAACGAGTATGGTAAGTTTTTCAGAGGACAGTGGGTTTAAGTCCAGCCACCCTACTAAATGCAAGGCAGGAAGCTAAGGTCTGTGCAGATGCAAAGATGAAAAATATCATGGAGTAGCACATATGTAAACAACTGACTTGAGTATTAGGTTGCTGGATTAATAAAATTTAACAGGCAAAGATGGAAAAGAAGGGTATTTTAGGCTAAAGGAATTCATGAGAAAAGTGTTGAGTTAGAAAAATGCTGGGATAATTGGTAGTTGATAGGAAAGCTAGATAATAAAACTTAAAGGGAGAGAAACATCAAAAAAGTCTTAGGGACATGCTAAGAACTTTAAACTTTTATAGGCACTGGAAACCATTGAAGGTTTTATGTAGGAATATGCTATGCTCCAGTAATCGGAACTAGATCTTAGGAATATTTTTCCCCCCTCATGATAGTAAGAGGATAGGAATATCATTTAGAAGGCTGCTGTAAATGTCCAGCTGAAGTGTGTAGGGGTTTTAAAGTAGGCTAGTGGCAGTGGAGTAGAGGGTACAGAGTCAAGAAGCATCGTGGAAGTGAAATTAACAGAAAGTGCAACCACCTGAATGGGCAGAGAGGGAAGGAGTAAGGATAATGCCAAGGTTTGAGCCTGTGACTGAGAATAAAGCTGTGATTCTTAGGGAACCAAGGAGGACACTGAAAGTGATGGTTGGAGTCAACTTAAGTGATTATTTTGGATTGGGCTGTTTTGACTTTGAAGTGCTGGCAGATTTCTTAAGTGAAGATGTGTAGCAGTCATTGAAAATATGAGTTTGGTGCTAAGAAGATTTGTCATGGCTAGAGAAAGAAATTAGAAATTTATTCACAGAGTCTGAGATTTAAAGATAAGTCAGGGGGCTGGCCCCATGGCTTAGCGGTTAAGTGCGTGCGCTGTGCTACTGGCGGCCCGGGTTCGGATCCCGGGCGTGCACCGACGCACTGCTTCTCCGGCCATGCTGAGGCCGCGTCCCACATACAGCAACTAGAAGGATGTGCTGCTATGACATACAACTATCTACTGGGGCTTTGGGGGAAAAAAAAAAGGAGGAGGATTGGCAATAGATGTTAGCTCAGAGTTGGTCTTCCTCAGCAAAAAGAGGAGGATTAGCACGGATGTTAGCTCAGGGCTGACCTTCCTCAAAATAAATAAATAAAGATAAGTCAGGGAAGGAGGGGGAGAAACTATCACCACTGCTCCCACCAGGAAAAGACACAGAAGAAGTGCCAGGAGAGATGGGGGCAGGTGGAGATGGAAGAATAAGGAGATAGAGTATGGAGGACATGGGTAGAGTTTCCAGAAGGAGACTTGTCCATGTGTGGAAAGTTAAGAAGTCTTGGAGGGAGAAGCTTGAAACCATGCTGTGAAATTTGGCAATTGGTTGGGAGAGATCTTTGGCAAACCTAGAGTATGATTTCGTTAAAGTGGTGAAGGCAGGAGCCAGAAGTTAGGAGTTAACGAGTGATTAATACTGTTGAGGATACGGAAGCAGGGGCTGCAAATGACTCTTTCCAAAATTTGGTGTTGAAAGGGAGGCCAGAAGTGGGTTGACAGTTTGAATGTGATAGAGAGTCAATTTGCGATAGAAGGATTTGTGAGGTAGTTTGGGGCCTCAGCTGAAGTTAAACAGCATGAACTAGTGATGGAACCAACCGCTGTGGTTTGGTAGCAGTCTTCAGCCACGCTGGAACTGCAGCAGTGGCAGCAGGGAAGTAACACAGTGGGATTGTTTGAGGTTTGGTGCTGACAGATTAGGTATGGCAGGAGACCAAGAGGGGTGAAGTCTCTTGCTCCCTTGACTCTTAGCTAATTTATACATTCTACTATTGACAGAGTCGGTTTACATCATTTGAAAATGAGTTCGGAGGTTCACCGAGGTCTGCACGTGTTCCAGACATCACTCCACCACTTTTCTCTTGTGACTCAAAGTACTCAGGCAGCATTTGTGTGTCCACAGTTATCTGGACCGGGGTTATGAAAGGCTCTGGTCCTTTTGACCAAGTCTGTTACATACTGTTGGAAAATGTGAAGTGGAAGGATGCATCTTTTAGTCTGTATTTTGCCATTCTGTGTGTGTGTGTGTGTGTGTGTGTTCTTTCATCTATCATTCATGTGCATGAATAGGCATTTCATGGCTAGCCAACATTTTATTGCCTGGTTATATATATAGCTCCTTTGGCTAAGAATAAGATTGAAATCATGGTTGTATTACTTTGGATTTTAGAATCAAATGCAGAATGTATTTTATCCAAATAGCATGAAGCATGAGAGAAGACTCACAATGAGGCTAGACAAAAGACAGACCATGTTGGTGTGAGGGAATGCTCTGCCAAGGCCCTAGACTCCTGGAGGTCTGTCTTCTCCTGCACAATTCTTTTGTCTGTTTTTATGGATTAATGACTTTTCTTTGGCATTGCCATCTTTCAAGTGCCAAGTTGTAAAAGGTCTAATTGAAGCATGGAACACATTTTATTATTTTCCTCCTGCCATTAAATTTGTAAGATGGCTACACCCAGAAAGAAACATTCACTTTCAATCAACATGAGCTTGAGTTCATGGGCCAGCCTCGAGGATATCAAATGGAAACTGCAGAGGAATGTATGAGTATTTCCTTTTAAAATTCTGCTTCTAATTTGGGAAAGCTTTTCATCCCTCTGGGATCATAACCTGTTGTGTATAAAGCCCAGCCTAATCAAGGTAGATGGTATTGACAGAATGACATAGTTTGAACTTAAGCCGGAGGTCAGCAGGCAGATTGTTTTTGCTGTATATACTGTAGTCACTAACAGCAAGGCTGGACAGCTGGGTTTTACCAGCAGCATTGTTAAATGGAAAATATGGTGTACTATGCCCCATGAAACCAACCATGGATTTTCCAAGTGTTGAGGCTTTTTTGAGTGGAATCAGACGTTTATGGGTTATATAGTAATTTGCCAGCTATAATAAACAAATAAAAATTAACTTTATAGATAACATAAATTCATGTTAATCTTTGGATAGAAAAGAATCTCAACTTTTTTTTTCTCAGAGCAAATAGAATCAGAACTGTTCATTTAACATGGACACCTAAGGCCAGTGTTGGTCTTGTACTCAGTTGCTTTACTGATGTGTAGGCATATTCTCAGTCCACTGAATATTTTCAAAAAATAGTTCATGATCTCTATTATTCACTTATTAGCAAATTCAGTAAAAAGCAATTTGACATATTTTGTCATGTTACAGTTTGTGTTCCTGGATTTGTACTTGATGGTTGGACCAAGAACAAATCTAGCAATTTGTGTGTGTGTGTGTGTGTGTGTGTGTGTATAAAACAAAATCAGATGCACAACATTCACAAATGAAGCTAGAATTATTAAAAAAATAAAAAATGCCATATCGGCCTAGTTTTTGTGTTTAAGACTTCCAGATGAAAAACTCAAATTCATAATAAATAACATTTGAAAATGCCAGTTCTGCAAAGAGAAACTATTAATTACCTTGTAATATCTGATCCATTGCCACTGTATCATTTGGTGATGTAAAATAACATAATTAAAGGAATAGAGCTATTTTTCCAAGAGCTTGCTTTTAATACATTTTTATTTTAATCAATATGTCTTTTAAAAACATAAAATGCATTCGTTTGATAAATGATACCCTACCCACACTTCATGACAAGGTTATAACTTCTGCTGGAGTTAGAGACCGTCTTTTGCCAATCTGGTCATTAATATTCAGCCAATCCTATTATACATTT